CGTTTTTTATGGCCTTTTGTATTCCTAAAATACCATAAATAGTAAAATATAGAAACACATTTCTTTCTTTAAAATACATAAACATAAGCTATATATTGAATAGGATATTAATGGAGGAAACAGACATTGGTTAGGATATAAAATTAGTAAACGGTATATCGGTAATATTATTTTTATAAAAAGCCTAAGCAGCTATGATTACGATGAACTTTAAATAAAATCCAATGGCGATGATTAACCTAATAATTAAAGAACTTTAAATTATTATAAGGCTTTCAAGTTTTATTACATTTGAAATTTTAAACAACTAAGTATATTAGTTTCATAATTGCTTACTCATCAGCATTGATAGAGTCGATCGCATAAATTTTGAGAATGTGCCGCAGCGGTCACATAACAATTGTCTGCATTCACAACACGATGACGAGACACTAAGCGTGCAAACCTACATACTTACCGATTTGGTTTTTACCCAGCAAATTGTAGCTGCTGTATTAAAAGAAAATAGACAATTTGTTTTAAGCAAAATGAAATAAGAAACAGTCAATAAGCTAAAGTTATTTTATATTTACTATTATATTATTTTACGGTGGGATCAAACTATTGTGAATTGTGACATAATACTCGTATATCACAGAAGAGCAAGAATTTTGCTACGATTCTTGCTATGAAATTTATTCCAGGCACGAACTACTTTGGGTCTCTGATCAAGGGGCACTTTGTTCGTTTATTTGATAGAATTGATTACCTATAGATCAATGTTGTTGCTTGGTTAATATTTCTTAATTTGTAAAGCCTTCTAATTTATTACTAAACACACTCCATAACAATAGTTTAGAAACAAAAGGTTTTCATATCCGTATCCATCGACCAGCATATCTGTATCTCGCTTTGTGCAAGGTTCTTAATCTTACTTCTTACTAAAATTATAATAAACTAATGCGAAAGTTTAGATGGATAGATGGATGGATGGATGGATGGATGTTTGTTAGAGTTAGTAGCCTAAACAGCTGCACGGATCTCGATGAAATTCGGCATAGACGTAGAGGATAGTCTGAAAGAACACATAGAGTACTAACTTTTGTTTTTTTTTAACTTCATGCGGACTAAACCTAGTAATACATAAAAACCTATTGTTGCGTTAGTTAGTATTTGTTATGTTCTTTTAAATTGTTTTGTTTCTTTTCTATCTCAAGTCAGGTTTTTAACTGTTTTATTTATTAAAATAATTTGTCACCATCGTGGTTTATTAGAACTTTGGAAATCCATTATCTACAGAAACGAAATCAATTTGAACTTTGAAAAGTACTTTATGTATTTTTATGTGCGGTTATTGTAAAACTCTCAGTTAACTGAAGTTCCTCTTTACAACGTGTCGATTGTCGCGCTGTTAAATTAAAGTTAGGGAAAGATTAAATTATGTACATTGAATTTCTTTTTAGCAACAGCGTTAAGTTTTTCGTTAGAAGCTCTAAATACTTTTAGACAACTTATTTAATTAATACTGTCGCTTTAAACTCAGAGCAACACTTCTCGTCCAGACCCAGGTTGCGCGCCAAATCAATCTATACTTCTAGTGACATTGATAGCTGTCAGCTAGTGACGTGACGTTTATGCCGATAATCTAGAGTTGCGCCAATTCTATATCACGGTACTAATTTTGTTCCTAACAATACCTATAAAGGTCTATGGTTAAAGTTTATTGGCTGTGATCGTTTGTTAATACTATTACCATTTTATTGAATAAATAATACTATAAATACCATACTATTAGGTTTAAATGTTTTACAAAAAAAATTAAACAGATTCACAACGCTACGTAGTGAAAGAAAAATTGTATTTTCAGCGATGGAGAAAGTTTTTAAATGTTTTTCATCAGAAGTGTTGGATTAAAACAGGCGTGCAAAGTTTGAAAACAAACAGGTTTGTAGAGATAATGGAGACCGCGAGTTTCAATTTATAGGAAACGTGTGGTTGGCAAGCTCAAGTGAAAAAGTGCAAAAGTTTTATTGCGGTTAACTCTCGAGCGTAAATAATGCGGAGCTAACGAACACAACAATAATTTTATATTATAACTAATCTCTAACAATTTTTATTGAAAACCATTACACATTTAACCAGCTTAATGTATATTAACTATGTTTTATGGCCATAGCTAGTTACTTGTATTTTGCACAAAATGCACGAAAACAGAAAAGGTAAGTTCAAAAATCATGAGTTACTGCAGCTGCAGTTAATATTGTGCCGGAAGAAGGAACTAACTCTCGACGACCCTTTCGTCATTACGCTCAGCACCACTTAAACAAGAAAGGACTCCTCTAATTACTGCTCTGATATTCCTTCCGTACAATCGTGTTTGAACTGTGCGCCATGAAATATATACTCATTTAAGAACGCAATCCTTGAGACAATGATGTTGACATTCTCTCGATTATGAAAGTTGAATCAAAATTATTTTAGTACGATTCAGATTGCAAAGTCACTGCTTTGTTCTTCATTTTTAAAGCGCGTTTACGTCAATCGAAAAATAATCTCACTAATAAATAATAGCACATCTGAACCATTACGTCTTTGCAGTTTTAAAGAGTTTCTCAAGGTCACATTAATTTGTATATTCTATCATGAAAGAGACATTTTATTGAGGTTGTTGTAACAAAGATTTAGATATTAGTGAATTGCTTGAAAACATTTTTTGCGTCGTTCTTAAAGTTTACATATAATTCCTTACATGAGTCAGTTGAGCTTTGTTTCCATTGAATGTCGCTGCAGTGTCGCATAACGAGCACCTGGCTACTCATCTACATAATGTGGACAACAACCTTTTTCCCCTTCTGTGTAAGATATAGGTTAATGTACTATTTCAGATGTGCATTTAATTTAACACAAAAACATGTGTACTAGCTTCTTTATTAGTTATATCCCTTTTCTAAAATCAAATTTTATATAATTGATTCTGTATCGAGTTGTTTATTCAATTTTTGACAACCTTAATTAAGTTTTTCACTTGCTCTTATGTTGAAAGGTTCAGATATTACAAGAAAAATTAGTATTAATGAGAAAAATGTTTTTAAAATGCTTAACGTATTAATGTATCACATAGTTTGCCAAACAGAACTTCGAAGGCTGTATTTTGTATGCTTGTATTCTATGAAATTTAAAAGCAGCGTTTGCCAGTGACGATGGAATTTAATTAGTATGAAAATAACGTTTGAACAATTTGATAATATTAAATAATAACAAATCGTTTTACATTCTCTTAACGACTTAAAAGTTAACAACATTTTGAATATTAATATTTACTACGATATTATTTCTCATTATTCGTAAAATACTTATCACTTATCGGCTTGAAAATATCTCGATAATCCAGCCACGTTGTCTGAACTGTCGTTTATTTCATACGAATATAATTTAGGCTCAGCTTAAAATGAATTATTTGTATGTAACGGCTTCACAGGAATAGTTTCTGTTGAATTTTTGTTGTGCTGGAAAACAAGTTTTAAAATATGATGTGCAAAAAAATTGAATAATTTGTTGATTTGGTAAATCTAGAATTAAATAGTATATTGATGATGCATATTTAAAATGAAATGTTGCTTACAGATGAAGCGATGCATTTATTTAAACGGATGGTGTTATATGAGACAAATGAAAAAAGTGTCTGATCTATGCACGAGTATTAAATTTTGATTAGGAGCTTTGTTGAGGAACCGTGCTCGGCGGGTGACGAAGGGATGGTGTGATCTCAGCCCTCCTGATTACGCGCTCTCATTCGTGCTTTGTGTGGCTGCCTCACCGAAATTCTTTGTAATTTAACGTTTGTTATTGTTGTTGACTAAAGTATAACGCGGAGCATCTTTACGAATCTTAATTCTGACATGATTGCAAAATCTGATATTTTTAAGTTATTTATTTCCTTTATTTTTAAAAGAAAATCGCAGCTTCTGTTCTTGTCTACTACTACTAATACTAATTTACATTTTAGGTGCATAATTTTATCAAGCCTAGTATTAATATTCTACCAGGTCCACCGACACAGTACTAAAACAGTGATTTTCTCATGGGGTGAATGTGTGTCGCCTTACAGATAAAAATGCGATCATAAAAATAAAAGTTCTCATCGAAGGAAGCGAGGAAATAACGTAGAATAATATACCGGATTTGCTTTTTATTCGACTACAGGCCCTTTGTGAATGGAGTCAGAGATTTCCCGAGATAGTCCTATCAAACATTTATAGAGTACTTATAAAAGGGACACATTTTTGAACACTTATTCAAGGTATTCTCCACTTATGACCGATTTGTTCCCGAAACAAATGTTATTTTTTTACATTTGTAATGTAACCATCCCAAAGGTAATAATTTATTAAAGAAAAATAAAATATTTTCAATGTGTGCAAAGCTGTACAGAATTAATAAACTTAAATGGCAATGAACCAAAAACATGGATACAATAATGTATGGATCAGTATTACCAATTCTGACCTATAGACCAAACGCAATATGAGGACCGACAAAGTGCACTGGGTCAGTGCGGCAATAGGTCGAATGCATCAATCCTTTGAGCCTACGTCCTGTAGTACAAGGTAATCGACTAATAAAGAGAAAATACCAAATGGCCAGATTAATATAACATCAGGAAAAAATACAGCAATTCTTCTTTCAGGCTAATGAATAAATGAACATTGGATAATTTAGAAGTGAGTTTGTTCAGAATGCGGTGCGAAAAGCGCCACATAACGGACACCTGCGGCATTATCTACATAAAGTGGGAAGTCATCGAGCCCCACTCTTTTACACAGTTTGTGGTTTGTTCTTAATTACAAGTATTTAAAGGGTTTTCGTTTTATCTAATAACTTGTTTTGGGTAACATGGTTGTCATAATGGGGTTATGCAGGATATATGTAGATGCATATCTTATATTAATTAAAACCAAACACATTTAACATGTTATAATTTTTATTTCGTCTGTGCAAAATTTGAAGGACGTTAACGTGATGATATATGTATTTTTATTGTATGTATAAATATTATAATTTTATCACTATATAATTTGCTATATTAGTTTTTAACTTACTTAATAAAATCGTGTTTTCAATAATATTAATATATTGCTTCATTAAATCTTCTAATTTTTAACCTTCTCGTTGTTTATTTTGAATTGTGGTATTTTGTACAGGTCTATTGATTGATAAATGCAAAAACTGGTATCCGGTTAATTATGTCTAAGTACAAATAAAAACTATTTGAAGCTATCAAGGTTGGTGCTGCCATAACAAGTTATTTCTGGAATAATCCGCCGTTTTCTTGGTTGGGAATGTACTTAATCATTTTATGACCTTCTATCATATTTCAACTCCCAATCGAATAGTCATTTCAAGGCTGTCGAAGCCACTTGAAATATTTGTATATATATTTGTTTTATTTTATATAGTAAATATATCAGATGTTCATCATCGACATAGTTCCGTATCGTTCTCAGGTATTCCGCAAAGAGCATCAGGCGCAGCGAGGAACAACTTCCCCGATGCGCAGGCGCACAGTTGATACACTTTGTTTGCCCGGTTATATTTCTGAGTATTGGTAGTTGTGTTTGCTATTTTTAGGTTATCTATTACGATGTTTGGAGCGTCGATTCGTATCTGAAATGAAAATATCAAGAAACATTTTTAAGGTTTGCAATCAATGGAGAATAAATAATTAAATAAGAATGAATTATTCTGGCAATAACATTGGTATATTAATGGCGAGTAATGTATTTAAAAGTTTTAAGAAAGCGCTTTTCCACTTACTGCACCGACAATTGAATCTAGGTGAATGTCACTATGCGAAGTAATATCTATGCCACCAGCTCTGCTCTCCAGGTAGATGGATTGCGGTGCCCGTAAATCTAATCTTCTAGTTAGCGATTCCAACCTGCAAATAATATTGACTATTACTAACTGAACTGACTATAGACAGAACAGATGATACTGTTGGGAGTCGTATCTCTCTTATGATTCAAAGTTAGATTGTTAGCAACTATTTCATACTCGCTTAAATAATGGAATGTAGTTGGAACATAGGAGTATGAACGGGACTCGGCGTGAGCAATTTATAAAGCACAACAAACTATTAAGCGTACGGCGCCGTACTAAACAGATGGGTTGTGGAGCACGTAGTATTAACATCTGTTTTATCTCAGCCAGCGCACAAGTTCGTGCAAACGAGGTGTCACTTTTGTCAGCAGTCCCGCGAACTAATATGTTTTGTATCGGAGGTTTCATTACAGTTTATTGTTAACATTTGTACGACATGAATAGAATGTTTACTGTTTTCTATTTTCAATGACAGTTCTGTTAATCGAAATTGTTTCCGTTCTGTATCAGACCAATGTTTCATGCACTGCTGGAAATAGAAAGCTATTGTCGTTCGATGAAGGAATAATTTAAATTTTTGGTCAATAAAATTATTCTCGGTTCTAAACATAAAACAGATCAATAATAAACATAAACACTATGTTTCTTTAGTTTCATTTGTAAATTCAGAAGACAAGAAATCGTCGAGTTATTTCATATATTTTAAAAACCATTATATTTTTTTGAAATGAACTCTTTAACGTAAAGTTGCGTAGGAAAGGTTTACTTCATTCTGTTTACGGCTTAGACTTACTGCAGCTTGGAGCTCGGCGGCGCACGAACTAGCGGTGCTTGTATTGCGCTATTCACGGTGAGGCCTGCTTCACCATCGACTGCGAAAGTCTCTGCGAATACACGTACTTCGTCACGCGAAGCATGAAATACCTTCCCGCCTTTAGAGTCGTACACTTCAAATTTTTTCCCACTGTATTCTATACTATCTCTCTCTGTAAATAAAAATTTATTACATCTTAGTAATGTGTGAGCAGTGCAATTCACGAAACCGTTGACTGGGTTTTTCGGATGTATGCATGCTATGGAATTATCAATATGCAGCGACTTTATGAGAGTATTATTAGTTCAGCCCCTATAGATCCTGAGACCAGTTCCATTCTAAGGTTAACTAAAAAAAATCGAGAACAGTGACACCTGTTTCTAAAATTCAACGTGAACCTTAAATTAACGGTAACAGCTATACTAACTTATAAACATCTTTGCTAATTCAATATGATTAGGATCCGAGACGAGGACGGTAAAATTCCGGAATGAGTGCAGAGTGATAGGCTGAGCGATTGGCGATGTTATTGTTGACGCCACCAACTTGTCTACTATCCACGCTTGGCCATCTAGTTGTATCCCATCTTTTGTTATCTTTATAGGACCTATACCTTTCTGAAATTAAATTGATTAATTTTAATTAACATTCAATTTATTTGTAAAATTGGAATAATTAAAGTTATTTCTGACTTAAAATCAATATTTACTATATTTTGTTTAATACAAAGTAGATGTGTAGCTTACCATACTTAACCTTAATGCACTAATTATCCATAATGTTAGTGCTATATTTAGAAATATAATTATCATTAATATAACTAAAATGCCGTATAGTGTAGTTCTTTTCCAGCCCCTGGTTATTGCTTCTGGCAGACATTGTGATTTTGGGGGGTCATTTGTGCCGACTGAAGCTGGGGGCGGATCACCGGTAGGAGTGAAGCCCCAACCGTGTATTGCGCCAGTAGTCGCTTGTGCGTCCTCTTCGCTCATTGTGTGTAACAGCTACCTTAGCAGTGTTCTGAGATTCACTATGAACCTGCAACATAAATTTATCTACAAGTGACGTCACAGTTTAATGGAGCATTAGTGTGAGTTAGACAAACATTAGAATGTGTTGATTTATTGATGAACATGCCTCTTACTGTTGAAATTTGAGTTGTATGGTTTTAATTTATAGGTATGACGTTGCGAAATGTTTGTTATTTTGAACCATTAAAGATACTAGCAAATAATAATTTTGAGTGCTGGCAATTTTGAAATTGTTTTCAGTTGGTATTGTAATTTGAGTTTTTGAACGGATCAAGGTGGCTATTGAATGACAGATGATAGTTCTCATTGAATGGTGGAATGCGCTTTGGTTGTGCGTACGTATAAAGTCAATTGGTTAATCTCTATTAATGTTTGAAATCTGATTACATCGTGTTGTGCAGTATTTACTAGAGATTGAAAGAGTCTATTTGTGATATTACGCGATTGTTATTTCAATATCACCGACATACGCACGCCCACAATGATAAATTACCGTGTATATGATCTACCTTCGGAAATAAATTTTGCAAGCCAAGCTTCGACAGGTATGTCTTATATACATTAAAATAAACTAGAGATAGAAGGAAGCTGACTATCCAATTTGTCCTATTTATTAGAATAAACCAGATGCTAAATAAAAAAAGTAATTAGGACCAAATGTAAATTGTAATAATTAAAAAATTACATAGTGTTTGTTCCACTTTAGTAAGCTGTTTCATTTTATAACAGTATAATTGACTACATAGTATTTGATAATTTCTTAGAAAAAAAAATATTAGCGGCAAGCTTACCTATACATTTTGTTTTACAAAAAATTAACAAAGTACCCAAAGAACCGGTTAAATACATTGTAGTGTTGCTAATGAGCTGTGTACGAGTGAGTACTTAGCACGTAATGAATATGAACCAAGTTAAAAAACAAATTAAGACTTTATTTCTGATATTCTTTAATAATAAGCTTTCTTAATACATTATGCATTTAACAATGTTCCTTAACTCAAATTAACGCAAAATTATATGAAAAAACCTTATATTAAACATGTTCATAAAAGGTTTCAACATGGGCTGGCAATTTTAACTTTTTATTCCAACTTTTCTAAGTCATAAAGATATACTTGTGACGCGGTCTACTTGTAAATGTAATATTAAAAATGTTACATATGGTTTTATAATACTTTCATTGATAATAGCAATACTAAGCATTAATAAAATCGCATAAATTGTCATTCTTGTACAAGAATAGGATTCTATTATCGATTTTCTGGTATAGTGGTGTATTTTTAGAGAACATGTTATACACAGAGTTTGCACAAATTTTGAAAATAGTTTTCATTTTATTAATTGCCCGTGACTGGAGCAACGTATTGCACTTTGTTGCTATTTTCAATTCGCGCCGTTCTTGTCCTGACGTATTCGGTCCTAGATAACGGACAAATTTTTAATGGATATTCAAAATAACTTATGAATGCTATTAAAACTTTCTTTTTATTTAACCTTTTTATTCATTAATGTTTAACAATTAGATGATGCTTTAAAGTCGATAGTACAATTTATTTGAATATATCAAAAGTCAATTGGACGGCGTTGACATGACTCGGAAAGGGACAATGTTCCTCTAGACCTGTCAACGTCACAGGTCTTTTGTCTGTAGGACCCTCCACGCCGATACAATAGGCAGCCTGCTGAAGCTTTAACCGTACTAACTTTATATATTTTTAAACGCTTTCGCACTAGTTTTCATTTAAAAATGGATTTTTACAACGACTCCGAATTGTGTGCAAAATATTCTCTCTCTTCTTTTATCTGCATTAGAAAGTAATTGGAAACTAAATTGGTTGAAGTGGGTTAAGAAACTTTGAGATTATGTTTCTTATTAAAAATGAAGGGATAATTTTCTTCGTGTACCAGTTGAATATTCAAATAACCTAATAATAGATAGTCATAGTCTAAGTGTCAAAACGTATTTATGTAGATTATTTAGATGGAATAAAATAAGGTAAGACCTCAATATTAATAGGTTATAGATGATGAAGTGGGAGCATTAATGGAAGTTAGAAAGGTATGCTAGACCCGATATTGAAGCAGTGGGAAATAGTAACCTGTTTCACCAGGGAATTACCTTAGATATTTTTGAATGTATTTGTCGCTGAAGCGATGTTGGGGCGTTTGGTTGGTATATATAAAAAGGGTAATAAATATTATAAATAAAATATATTAAGAAGTTGTACACTTACAATGCAGATAATACAATCCTGGGTCCAATTACAATATAGGGTAAATACGTAGAGAAAATAGAAACAACAAGCTTTTAAAAGTTAAGATAAATTTATCTTTAAATAAACGGTAAAAATATATTGTTACTGAAAAGTTAAAAATATTATTCCAGCAAACTCGAACCCGGCGCTTTTGTTACGTATTTTAAGCTAGTGTCGCGTCGCGTTGTGTCGTGTTTTGAAGGCTCTGTTCCACAATGCAGGCGACTGCACCGGGCGAATACTCAGCCTAAGACTAGATAAATTCATAGGTGCTAGAAGCAACACTCGAAATATCTGGCATGAAACGAGGCAGACGAGGCAGCGAGGCAGGCGAGGCAAGGC